GTTCTGCAGCACATAAACACTCAGAAATACAGCATCACAATCACATCTTTATACACCATGGACACAAAGACAAACAAGCAAACCAAATAAATGTTCGTGTCAGCTGCTTAGCAAGTGATAATAGTCACTGTTTRCATGAACCTTTGTACTTCTCATCATCACGAAAGCGAAAGGGCAATTATGTTTTGATGTGTGTCAGTGTGTGTGTGTGCACTTGTTTTTACTACGGAGTGAGGATCATTTGTGCCATAGTTACTATCAAAGTGAGGACTTTGATGTAAATGTAAATGTCCTCACTTTGTTTGCAGCTCTGCTGTGCTTTACTAGTTAGGTTTAGAGGTATGATGTGAATTAAGTTCTGGTTCAGGTTAGGATTAACTACAGACCAGTAATGGAGAGAGGGGTTGGACACTCTTCCACTCTGGAGTTGCCCATGCTGAGAGGCGCCGAGCAGGAGTGGGCATACTTATTGCCCCCCATCTCGGTGCCTGTACRTTGGGGTTCACCCCGGTGAACGAGAGGGTAGCCTCCCTCCGCCTCTGTGTGGGGGGACGGGTTCTGAATGCACCTAACAGTAGTTCATGCTGGAGGTTTCTCGGTTGGCCTGGGAACACCTTGGGATTCCCCCAGAGGAGCTGGCCCAAGTGGCTGGGGAGAGGGAAGTCTGGACACCTGACCGTGGATAAGGACAGACAGCTATTCTTTACAGTCCTATGAAGAGTCTGTCCTCAAACTTTCTCGGAGGGTGCTGTCTGACCCTGCTCACATCCTAAATTCACATTGTGAACTCTTACCATCTGGCAAACGATTTAGAATCCCTGCTTGTCGACTCAATAGATTTAAAAATTCATTTGTTCCTACATCTACCAGACTGTTGAATACAGTAGGCATATAGTGTTTGTCATGCTAAGCTTAGGTTTGACTAGGTTTGTGTTCATGCTAGAAGGTATGTGGGAGTGTGCAGTATGTGTTTATTGAGAAATATGTGTTTTTGTGTAATATGTGTTTTTAATTTTTCGAGGTGCTCACATGACTTTTTATTGCTGTTTGTAGTGTATTAATTGTAGAAGCAGCTTGTCGGGTGTACGATGTTCAAGACAAATTTCCTCTTGGGGACAATCTATCTATCTACAGTATAAGCGGATGAAAATGGATGGATGGATGGATGGATGGATGGATGGATGGATGGATGGATGGATGGATGGATGGATGGATGGATGGATGGATGGATGGATGGATGGATGGATGGATGGATGGATGGATGGATGGATGGATGGATGATGGATGGATAGATAGATGGATTGATATTACTAACTTTTAACTTGCTGTAAAAAGGTCAGATTATGTGTTGAGTCATTCTAAGCACATACTCTGAGCATTAATGGATCACAATATCACCAGATTGTACATATTTCATTTATAAGGTTTTACCAAAAATGATTATAAAATCTGGTTCTGCCTCTACCCTCCCACAGCCCTCCCAGTATAACACAGCTCATAGCTAGCATATAAACAACAGTGACAGCAGGATAGCTTTTTACAGTACGACGTATCTGGTATGTTGGGTGAGGAGTCTTAAGTTCATTCCTTTTCATCAAAAATTGTTCTTATTAACACGCTAGCATAAAAGCTTATGGGCAGTATGCATTACTTTGGGATAGGTCTCTGATTCAATGTTATACAGTAAGACTATTTTAAGTGATTTGATTTTGCAGTCAGCTAAGATCAGTTATGCAGTCTTGAAAAAGCATTCCCACTTTTGTAAATGGGACTAACCCCTCAAGATCTCTTTTCTGTTAGTAATATTGATCTGGCTGCTGGAGTGGAAGTGCTGCAGTGTCCTGAGAAATGCTGATTCATGCTGCAGTTCAATAGAGTTTYTCACTAAGGCCTGCAAAGCTGCAAGCATGAGCACAGCTCCATCGTCACAGCATCTTTGTTCTGATGATCAGTATCAGAAAAGCAAAAATCTACTTCAAAAAGATTACCCTGGGATTAAATTCTAACTGACCTGATTAACAACAAGACTGCAAACCTATATCACACACCCCAAAGAAATCAGTCAATGAATAATTGATCCATAGCCACTCAAATAAAACAGAGTGCAGACAAGCAAAAACTGCTGACATCAAGAATAATCACCATTTCCTGAGTCTGCTTTCAACTAAACACTTAGTGCTCTATTAGATAAAGTGCATTCAGGAATATTTGGTCAATCTGGTCCGAGYTAGAACACAGAACTTTGAAATATAAGAATACTGAAGCCTTTTTCTCAGCATAGCCCTGCCCTGTTGTAAAATCATTTTACAGCCTAAATGTAGTGTAAACAGTGACAGTAGTCAACAAATAAAGGACAAATAGGGACTTTTTTATGGAAGCCTTGACTAGTATGACTCAACCAAAAATTTTAATCCTAGTAAACACCCCTGGTGTGTTACCGTTGAGCTCTGAACTGTAGTCTAAGGACCATAGTTCAGAGCTCTTAAAAAGTGAAGACCCTCATTGAGTTTATCCCTATATGCAGTGTATATATA